TTTTTTTTTTTTTTTTTTTTTCCTTTTTTTTTTTTTCCTCATTAGACAGTGTTCAATACTCAGTGCTGTTTTATTGTAGTGAGATTCTTGGCTCCTGAGCAAACGCACAGCTGTGCTCATGAGGATCAAGAGGTTCAGGACGTGTCAGAAAAGCTGCAGAGTTGTGTGTCAAGAGAGGACGTTTGTCCTGATGTGTGTCTAAGGAGCAGAACAACTCAGAAATCTGCCATGTAGCGCCCTGAAAAAAATCAATCAGAGGTTAATTTGATTTGGTAACATTTGATGTGTGTGTGGTCCAGTGTGATACACACCTGTGGCAAATCTCTTCTTGCTGAGGGACAGTCTGTACCCGCTGCCCTGGAGCTCCATGTCTACTCCAGACAGCGTGGTGCCTTCGTTCATGAACTGCACGGCCAGAGTGGAGGGGTTCGATGGACCACTGGCCAGTTCAAACTTGGCTCTCAGAGACCCGGCACCTTTTGGGGGTGGGGGGTGGGAGGGGGGGCAAAAATTCAGATTCTGCAGCGACTGATTCTTCTCTCAGCTCCAAAGAACACCCAATGCAAAACAACAACAACAACAACAACAACCAATGACCGCTGTAATAATGGAAACATTTCTTTTACCTTCGTTGTCAGATTTTTCTGAAATGTCCCCAAGTTTCCACAGACATTTGTTCTGCTCAGAATTCCTAAAGTCGCAGGAAAAACAGTTCACTCAAATATCGTGTGTCTGACATCTTTCACAGACTTTAACGTACGTCAGCAGTAGATCCAACATTAGACACTTATATATGTGAGATGAGGCTTTAAAACACTGATGATAAACACCTGGATCGCTAATAATTTAATTTGAGGAGTTTTATATATTGTTTTAAAATATTTAATATTTTCATACAATTATAAATACGCTATAAAAAGGCAAGAAAATATGTGTATTAGCCGTTTTTTTTAAAGCATTATATTAAAAACAAAGTATTTTTGTTCAAATCCCCTTTTTCTGTGATGTATTTATCCTTCAGTCCAAAGGTTTTAACTTCATGGGAACCATAACGTTTGAGCTCCAGAATCACATCAACTAAAATCCAAACAGGCACAGGTTCCTACTGTACGTCTACAAAGGCCTTTTCTTCTGGATAATACGGCAAATTTCAGCGACTCAGTGCCAAATGTTTTGGAGGGAGAGCAGCAGCAAAGACAAACGCTGAATGTTTTTTTTTTTGTTGTTTTTCTTGTTTATCCATAGCAAATACAACACAGGTTCTGGTCTCACCACACGGAGCTGGGCAGAGACTGCATGGACGTGACTCCTCCATCCACCGGCACCAAGATCTGGATGTTGGTGAGAGGACCAGGAAAGACCATGGAATCGGGGTTGTAGCGATAGTCCACCCTCAGGTCTGTCGTGGTCGCCGCGCACTTCCAGTACACGGCCAGGTTTAGAGGAGTGGAGTGGATGCCGTCTGACAGCACCTGAACACAACAGCACGGAAACAATGACAAATAAAAAACAGGGATACTAAAATGAGATAAAAAAATAAAATAAAATAAATTGAGAAGTTGTGCAAAGACACTCACGGTAAATACAATCATTGTTTACAGTAAATCCTATCTGTGAGATTCAACACGTTTTAAATACGTTTTGTTGTTGTTTACATATAAACAGCCTGTTCAAATACAACTGTGATCACAGTTAAGAGTCTATCTGAAAATCCCTTTCCCATTCTCAGTGTTTGTCTTTCCTCGGGCGAATGTAATATTTACTTGACTTTTCTCTGCCGTGTTTGAAATGGAAGCACTTTGGAAAATATGCGCTTCAACGGCATTCTTTGACTTCATTTATTTTATGTGGATTCCGCTCGGTTCTCCACGTTGGACTACGGACCTGATATTTGAGAATGTCCACGTTGTAGTAGGAAGCTGAAGGATTCTGATCTGCTGCCTTTCTGAGGTAGGACGTCAGCGCCTGCATGTTGAACCAGAAGTCCTTGGAATTCGAGTCGCTTTGGGAAGGATCACTGGGAAGACACACACACACACACACACACACACACACACACACACACACGCAAAATTAGTCACAAACAACACAGAATGAGGATCCGGATTATTTATTTATTACTTTGTCTGTGCAGCTGTGAAAAAAGAGCTGCTTGGAAAAAATGACATCAAACAACAAGTTAATCATGAATTAGGGTTCATTTTAATAAGCCAAGCATGTGCTCATAAATGCAGGATGAGAAATACAACGACGCAGAGTTTGGTGTTTGTTTAGGGAGAGCCGCTCATTCAGAACGGCATCAACAACTTTAACGTCGCGCTGAAATGTGATCGTACGAGGGGTTCAACAATAAAAACATAAAAGCTGTGACTGAGATAAAAGAGGTGAGGAAAAAAAAGTGAAGTGTGTTAAATGAAGCAGCTGTTAAACAAGCGGAGCTGTCCTTTGCTATTTTAGGGCGCAGAGTATTTCAGAAGATGCATGGGCTGTTGAGAAGCTGGCTGTTAATGTCTGCTGGAAAATACTTCCCTGACAACTTAATGATAGGTTTATGTCAGATTACTAATTGAATTTCCTCTCGCTGACGCAGACTACATTTCCTCCACGCTCGCTCGTAGCATCAGAGCCAAACCCCCCTCGGTGGCTTAGCCACAAGTCAAACAACTTAGCAGCTCAGGGACTCCTGCGCTGTGTTTACCGGTGATGCCTTAACTACCTGTCTGTCTGTCCATCTGTCTGTCTGTCTGTCTGTCCGTCTGTCTGTCCGTCCGTCTGTCCGTCTGTCCCGGTCTCTCCTCCACACCTCACCTGTAAACCAGCTGCTGGTTGGGGAGGATCTGCTCCAGTCGGCCCGTGTTCTTCAGTCTGAAGCTGAGGACGGCGGGGGAGGGGTTGGAGGTGAACACCTTGATGATGCCCATGGGGAACGACAGAGTCATGTCTCCTGTGATCTTCACGATGCACCTGAAGGGGGCAGTAATGTTGGAATGAATTATGTCAGGGAGAAGATGAACAGTAATTTACATTTACATTTAATTAATTTAGAAACATTCTATAACATTTTATTTATAAATATATATATACATACATATATACATGTTTATACTTTATAAACATATATGTACATATATATGTTTATAAATTAATTAATTATATACACATATATACAGATATTCATATACAGTTTATATTTCTACATATATACATATTAATTAAATTTATGAAAATGTTTTAATTTTTTACTTGAAAAATTAAATAAAATTTTAATGTTTGATGTTTGTGCAATATTTAGCAATTTTTGTGCAATATTTTCTCAGGCCATGTCCCAACAATTTTTTTTTTTTAGACTGAACTACTGTAGTAAAATTCAATAAGCTAATATCTATGAATCACATGATACTTCATTTCAGAGGTGTATAATATTTTGTATTATTATCACATCTTAATAATAAAAAACAAACCTATAAATTTAAATTTTCTTTGACATTAGGGATATGTTACAGCATCCACAGTCTGTCATCTGAGCCGACTTTTGTCTTCATTACTGTAGGTCTAAAGTGTAGCCTTCCACAGTCTAATGTTGATCCAGTTTCACAACAGGTTACTGGAAAAGCCTTTCTTCATTTGGACCGCGGCCTGGCCCGCGGTGGTTAACGTAACAGTGGGTCCCAGCCTTACACTGCGCCTCCGCTTCATCGCTTATGAAATGTTCCATTTGCTAATTCCTACAAAAATAAGCTTTTGTGCACAGCAGCAATTTAACAGCAGTTGACTAATAAAAGGCTGTATGTTTTCTCTGCCCCAGACTATAATCTGCCCCATGTCGTTTATCCACTCTGAAAGAACGGTGTCAAACTAACGCAAAACATTCCACACACGCAGGGGCGAAAGGCACAAACCCTCTGCAGAAATCAAGCCAAACGTCTGAGTGTAGTGTACGTTGGCACCGGACCATGAAACACAACCATACGTTGAGTAGAGTTCCCTATAACTTATATGATCGTACGTGTTATTGTTTAAGTTCAATTATGGACAAAAACGTATGTGCGTGCAGGTCCGTGGCAGAGGCTTTTCAGCAGTCGGAGGTCATGTGAGACTCACTTAGAGGGATCAGCTCCTTTGAAGTAGGCATTAACCGACTCTGTGAAGGCCACGGCAATGGGCAAAGCATCTTGGGAAGCCAGTGTCACAGGGCTAGGGCCGCGAGACGTCCCTGAGAGAAGGAAAAAGAAGCAGAGATTCAGCTCTGTTGACTCAGCTGCGGATCGGACTTTCTCAACACTGCGGAATCTGGACTGGGAAGGTTTGACCATGCACTGATGCATTCGAGGAGCAGAAATATTCACAAGATGAAGTTTCACAAGGTCAGTGTGGCAAACGTCACAAATCAGCAGTCAGTTGTTTTTCAAGTAAACAGATACAGACACGGTGTTAGAGCGGTGTGTGCTTCTGCAGCGTTCGTTATAATGACACACATGGGTCGACACAGTGGTTCCCAAATTTGTTGGAGCACCATCTCCCACCTCCCACCCCCCACACACTGACAGGTGATGATTCTAAAGTCCACTGATCATGGTTTAAAACACTGTACACAAGCAGCAGTACTGCAGTTTTCCTACTGAACTGCCCCCCTGCGGCCCCTGCCCCTCACTTTGGGAACCACTGAGTAAACACGACATACACAGAACCAGGTATATTGGTTTTAATTCAAACACAAACGTTAAACGAGGAGCAAACCAATAAGACGGAACCAAACGAACAGCAGTTCATTTGACACGTCCTCGTTAGTTGGGAGTCAAACGGAGGAACGTCCTCTGGATCGGACTTGAACAGTACCTGCTGGGGTTTCACAGCGCTTCTCAAACGTGGGCAGCTTGGCTATGAATGCATCGTCCTCTTAAAGCCAAATTACAGGCGTGAAGAGGAGGAAGTGAGGAGATAAACAAACCCAGAGAGAACACACGTGAGGATGCAGGTGGTGACAGGTGAGTCCTGATGGAGATGAACTACAGGATTTCATGGAAATAAAACCTGGATGTTTTTCTGAGTAACATGAAGCCAGTCTGGGTCGCAGAGAGAAATGTCTTCATACGTGACATTTCAAATCATAAATTGAGGTTATTTCCAGCATTGCTTTATTTCCATGAAATGAGGTTAACAGTTACCAGGCAACTAATAATGACAATTTTACCATCACTGAAATGACGAGAGATTAAGGAGAAACTATGAGTGTGGGCACCATGGAAACAAGCCCCCTGGTGGAGATCGGCACACTCACTTTGGCTTAGTAGAAAAAAAGGAGAAAGTGAGAGCAGCTCTGGGTCAGGAGAGGAGAGAGGGTGAGCAAAGGTGTGCTCTGCTCCTGTAAGGAAAGGAGGTGAGGCCAGGAAGGAGAGGAAAGTGAGGGGAGGAAAGGTGGAGAAGAGAAACAACAACAGCACGTCGTGGTGCAGGGACCACAACATGTGGAACGTCAGTGAGGAGCGGAGGGAAAGCACAGAACTGAGGTCAAGTGTTTAAGAGCAGGAGAGGCTGAAGAAGCTCACCAACGGTGGGGGTGTTGGCAGCACTGAGTGAGGCATTTGAGGACAGAGAGGAGGAACTCTCAGCCCGGGCGAGAGGTGCGGCAGGAGGAGGACTGGCGTTGGATGTTTTGGGTGGACTGAACGGTCGCCCCTGTGGAAATTGTGTTTATAAGTCAATAAAATGTCATTTTTTAAAAACTGTAATCAGACCGCAGTGAGCGTCACATCGGTGGTTATCATCACTCACAATCTCATTGATTCCTGTGAGTTTTCCAGTGGGCAGTTTTGGTCTGGAGGAGGGTCGCGGTGGGGGCATCAGGGCTCCAGCTGTCAGCGGCGTTGTGGGTCGGTTCGGAACTGGCACTACACATGCAAACGCGGTATTACTGGTTAGTGATGGATACACAGTGGGGAAAGGAATCCATCTGAGCGTAAACATATACAAGCATGCTTCACTCAAACAGATGCAAAATCATCACGCATCAACCTCCAACCTCGTATTTGTAAACTGTTACAGCAAACATTAAAATTTGGAAAGCCTTCACAGGGAACAAGGAAAACACGTTCAAAAATAAATTCCATAAAAGCAAACTCAAAGACAAACATGTGCAAACCAGGCAGTGAGTTGTACAAACATGTCCGCAAAATAAAACAATGAAAAAAAGAAAGGAACGTGTAACTGTCAACTCCGAACACAAAACAAATGCATAAAAATAAAATCAGAGACTTAAATTAGCTCAAAATGTTTACAAATCAAATGCCACAACTCAGGCAGGAAGCATGTTTCTGACATCAACAATCATGTTACCATTCAATACTTTGCCCGACGGAGCTGCACCCATCGCTCTATCGGCCGGTCCAGAAAAGGCATCGGTAAAACCAGAGCTTCCGTCGTCTTTGCTGCCTTGCGTTTTACTGTTAGAATCAGCAGAATCGTCAGAGAACAAACGGCTCTGCCTTCCAGAACCGGCCTGAGGCCTCTGGGTTTCCTTGACGCCGCCTTGATGCCGAGGTGGAACGAATGCGTCACCGAAGGCGATCCACTGGCTCTGGGACCAGGACGCCTGGGAGAAGGCATCGCCGCTCTTCGGAGGACTGCCGTCAAGCTGGATTCTGATGGGGTCGACCGGCTCGGCAGGCAGGGTGATGGGGGCGCTCTGGGCCCGAGCGGGCATGGGTTTGACCGCTTGGAAAGCGTTCTCTGGTGAATCCCACGGCGAAGATGTGGATGAAGAGACAGTGGAGACGTCTTTGGATCGGTGGCTCTCTTCAGCTGGAGGAGAACGCTCCGGATCGGGCACGGTTTCAGCTGAAGGGGCTGATGTGATTAAAACAGGCACATTAAATAACCAACCCACTCATCCATGATCTTTGGGTCTATTGAAATCAGAGAACGTGTGTCAGGGAACAGTGGAAACGCAATGAAGTCATTGTCACCCGTCTTTTATAATAATTAAACAATTGTATTATTGTCAATGTCTTAAATCCAAATATGTGATTAAGGCGTGAACTTTAACCCTGAGATTTTGTATTTTTTAAAGATGATCTGTGTCTTGGTGTTCATCTGTGGGTTTACTGGACACACGTCTGTGTTTCCTCTAGGATTTCTTTAAGCATCAGCAGCAGACAATGGCTGCTGATACAGGTGAGACCATTACACTACAGATTCAGGCTTTTACTAATTATTACCAAAGTGACTACAAAAGCACGTCTATAATAAACTGTCCTGACCCGGAGCAGCCAAACTCAGGTCTTGACCAAGGACGATGTACGTCCTAGTCTTATGTCAATCATACTTATAATAATAGTTACTTAAAATAATTAAATTAATCTTAATGTTTTTAAAGTGTTGCGTGAAACTTTAAACTGTGCAAAACCCATGCAAACACAAGGAGAACATCAAGCAATCTCCATGACAACACACCAGGGACCAGACCAGACCAGACCAGAACCCCTGTGATCTTGCTGCTGTGATCTGTCACCATCGTGTGGCTCTCCCAGCTCAGGTGCAGTGAGGAAATATTAGATTTTTTATTTCTTTACTTCTCAAACCCATGCATCTACGACATGTGGAACCTTCAGTTTAAGTATCAAGTGCATGCAAAACAATGTGATTCGGGTTCTAAACCCCCTCTTGTTTTCATTCAAACCACTGTCTAACGAATGGGCCACACATTTTGTACCTGAAGCCTCTGGCAGAAAGACGTCTGACTCATTCATCACAGATGACGGAGATGATGGGGGAATTGAACGGAAAACAGAGGCAAGATCTAACAGCAGATGTTCAAATAACAATAACAAAATAAATAGAAAATTCAAAAAAAGAGACACAAACAAAGGCATTGTGATGAAAAGAAAAATCACAAAATTAAAAAAAAAACAGAAAATAATAATAGACATAGAGTTCATTTAAAAAATGTGTCACAACCTTCGACAAAAACAAAATAAAAAATGAAAATGTAACAACTTTAAAGTTCCTTTTTTGTGTCTGTCTTTAAAAAAAAAAGAAAAGTTAAAACAGCCATCCAGAGTAAACAAACTGACAGCAACGGATGACAAACAGCTTCAAGTGAAACAAAGTAAGAACTGATGATGCCACGATAACATATCGACTCAATAAGATTTTATAAATATCATTTTTTGTGTGTATATTATAGATATATATTTTATAGAATGTCAGAATGTCGATCGTAAAGTGGAAATCAAAAATGAAAACAACTTTTTAAAGGAATAAAAAGTGACAGCTACAGTCAGGAAGCAACAAGGTTACCTGCTGTTGTGGACAGGGAGGAGGCAGATCCTGCTGACAGAGTTGGGCCCAACGGGTCCAGAGACAAAAGGTCATTGTTTGTCAGCCTGAAATGGAAGACAGTGGGTCAACGGGGACGGGTTGTTGTTTTTTTTTTATTCTAGTGTTGGCACCAGGTAGATATGAGTTACAGACAAACTCCTACTCACTCGTACGATGTTGGCACTCTGGGTTTTGCCAGCTCATCACCTGCAGCGAGAGCAAAACAAACAGAATTTAGGACTTGGCCACCTGTGAGGAGTGACGACAGCAAATACACTTTTAGAATTCCCTCACGAGGCCTCAAAAATATACAGTTTAAGACTCGTTCTTGCCAGCATGACATCACACCTTTGAACAAGAAATATAAATGAAGGTTTTGACAAGTGAGAATCACCATCTGCCAGGAGAAATCACAGAACCGTGTTCGCAGTAAGTTTTACTTCAAAACTTGAAACTGAATTCAGTAAAAAACCTCAGAGGCTACTAAATCAGAAACTGAATCAGAATCATGAAACTGAATTCAGTAAAAAAAACTCAGAGGCTACTGAATCAGTCCAAGTTAAAATGTTTGATGACGAACTAACACTTCACAACAGGGGGTGCAGTGATTCAGCTGCCACAAATAAAACCAGGCTTTGCTTTGTTATTGTGCGCCCCTGCCTCAAGTGTTAACCTGTGACCTGTCAGGGTCCATGAAAGCAGAACTGAAGCACCAGAGGTGAAAGGCTGCATCTGATCGGAAGTTTCGTTACCAAACATATGAGTAAAACTTTTAAAATTACAAACCTTAATTTCAATAAAGTCGGTGCACCTCCTAAAAATGAAATACAAACGACTGGTGTGTATTTAACGGATGTCATCAGGCGAAAAGACAACGTTTTCTGACCAATGATATTTTATCACTATGACAATTTAACAATTTAGTGATTGATTTTTGCAGCTCATTTGAGAAGGTTTTTGACAAACGCAGGTCTGAAAGTGTTTGACCATCCCTGGACAGCTTTTTAACCTTAAATTTGGGACTTTTTGAGACTTTTCCAAGATTACTTCCATACAAAGAGTGTTCCATAGATGGATTTGTTATAAGTTACCATGCCCCATACAAAGAGTGTTCCATAGATGGATGCTCCTTTTTTACCCTCAACTTTGACACCAAGATTTGTTATAAGTTACCATGCAGTGAACAAGTTGCTCTGACGTTGCTTCTATCTAATGTGCTGCAAATGTCAATACCAAGAATCCTGACTTTGTCCTTGTTCCTGATAAATTTAGATTCTAGTGAACTACTCAAGTTCAGACTTTATTTTTAGGAGATCACCTTTTATGGAAATGAGTTTTGTAAGATAAGGTTTGCGGTGAGAACAGAGTCAGTGGTGTTAGCTGGTGTCACCTCGCTGCAAGAAACTGTGTGAAAGGCTGCCATAAGGATACAGAGACAGGAGCTGGAGCAGATATTTTGAGTTGGGGGGCAAGTTGAGAAGGGTTACTACTGGAGTGAAAACATACTCACCCGGACCCTTAGGCTTAGAGCTTAATGTAGGAACTCCTGTGATCCCTAAGCGCATGTAGAGTATACATCCATCAATGCCATCGATCAGTATTTTGTAAGCCCTTCAGGTTTTTATGACGTTTTTGAATGTTCATCAAACCTCAGAGGGGTTTATTTAAAAGGCAGTAAACACACATTTAAGTTTAACTGAAAATAGAAGGCTCCATTTTTTTTTCGACAAATCAAAACTACAAGCTGCAAACTTTATATTCAGTTGTACTGGAGGCCTGACAGGCGGAAAAAAAAAAGAAAGAAGAACTTTAACCGTAACTCATGTTTACAGAAAAGAACAGCTATTCAGCTTTTTCTGGTGATATGTTAACTTTGGCAGGCTTTGTGGATTTGTCCTCTTTAAAAACATCCCAGGCCAAGAACAACTTGTGACACACATTTACACAGAGGTCAGACAGAGAAAAAAATACTCACTGGACTGATTCCTCCGCATCTGTCCCTGGGAAAAAAACAAAACAAAGAAAAGTTAGGGCAACCATTAATCAAGGACAGCTGAAACAAACTGTCATCGGTGCTAAATCTTTCTCACACACATATATACTTATATATGTATATACATGTATATACACACATATATACATATATATTTATAAAAAATATATATATGCACATGCATATATATTTATATAAATATATATGGACATACATAGATATTTATATATGTATATACACACATATATACATATATATTTATAAAAAATATATATGCACATGCATATATATTTACATAAATATATATGCACATTCATATATATTTACACAAATATATATGTTTATATATATACACATACATATACAAACATATATACATGTATTATATCTAAAATGTCTCCATGTTAATAGGATTATAAAAATATAATACATGTAAATATATGAAAACACATATACATATATACAAATACATATGTACCCATACAATTTTAAACTCACACACACACACGCATACTGTACACAAATATATATGCATACACTCAAACATATATGAAAAAGTATTGAAATAAAAATGAGTTTATCAACTATTAATATTTTCAGTGTCACACTTAAGGTAATAAAAGTGTTTTTTATTTGCCCTAATGGCAGAGGGCATTTTCCCCTTCAGACTTAAAGACAGTAAATCACAGGACTATTCCCAGTTCACACATACCAGACATTCAATGTAGGGTAAAAAAATTCAGCAGCAAAAGAAAAAAAACAAAAGACCAGTGCATCCAAATGCCTCCCTTTAAACTTCCTTCCCTGAAACTCCTTTTCAGCACATCCAAAATATCTGCTATGTCACGCTGCGGAGCACAAGATATGCGAGATAGGCTCCCGCGGGTAAACAACCCAATGGAAACTTAGAGCATCAATTTCAATAAAGAACTTTTTCGTACGAGGGGAAATGGTTGGGGGGGAGGGTGTGAGGGGAAGGAGGGGGGAGAAAAAGAAACAAAATGGGTTTAAGGAACATAGCAAAAGCGTTTAACCACCATAGAGCTGTGAGGCCAGGGTTTAGTCCCACAGGCGCTAAGCGGCAAATGGGTTCAATTACGGTCTCTCTGGCCACACACACACACGACTTCCATTGCTATTTCAATAAAGGGAACACCGTGGAGGGAGAACCAAACAGGAGAAGAAATGAAAAAGACAGAAAAATGAGCAGCCAGGGAAAAAAAAAAAAAAAAAAGAAAGAAAGAAAGAAAGGAAAATCTCCGGGTAATTCACACCAGATGATGCAACATTCGTCACCACCTTGAATGTATGTTCAGAAATGTATTCCAGAACTGCTCTGTAAATATAAAGCAGCAGAAGGGTGCAGAAAATAAATCCCCACAGATAGAGAGGAAATGAAACGCAATGTAATGATTCTTTTGGTATGTAAATGAAAATCAGTCCAACATATAAACAGCCACTTGTGTGTACTTTTTTTTTTTTTTTTTTACAAGAAGGATGAGAAAGTACGAGTGGGTTTGTTCAGGACAAAAATCAAAACCAAACTTTTTTTTTTTAACCTTTAAACATGTCTCCTCCTGAATCCACGGGAGTAAAGTAAACTTGTAACTTTACTTTATCAGTATTTGTTAGTGGTGGGATGAGAGTATTTATAATTACAAAGTAACTAAGCTTATAAAGTATTTATAAATAACCACAACATAGTCCTGTCTGGAACAACTGGGTTGCAATAAAAGCCAAAGTGAAAAAGCAAACACAGAAAAGAGAACGAATGAGGTAAATGAGGAGGAAAGGACGAGCAGGAAGAGAGAGAGAGAGAGAGACAGAGAGAGAGAGAGAGAGAGAGAGAGAGAGAGAAAGTGAGTGAGAGAGATCAACAAAGCTGCAAGGAAGATGCCGTGACATTTGTTTAGTGTGCAGCCGGGGAGGGTGGCGGGTGAAACCCACGAGACCCCATTCGCGACACTGAGCGTGCCGTGTCAGCCGCTCGGCAACACCATTAACAACAACAACAGCTCAGTGCACACACACACAGACACACACACAGACACACACACA